GTTTTCTGCAAACTCCAGAGGCGCAGGCCATTCCCCCTTACAAGATGCTCCAAGATTAAGAGCCCCCTTCACTAAGCAGAAATACCGATCTGTTCTCAGCCCAGCCGCAGAAGCCCCGAGGCCGTTGACAACACCTTATCCTTGGACGCAAACACCCGGGACCACAAGCGGAGGCCGGACTAACCCAGCTCTGCAAATACTCCTGTCAGATATTTTTCTGCAAAACAGCCATTTGAAAACAAAGAAGTAGCAGGTACAGATGGGCTCTCCGCTGGAGCAGAGATGCAGCTAAGCCCAGGTTTCCAAGGTAACCAAGTCTCCACAGCAAAAGCCGCGGCCTCCCGCAGTCTCTGCTTTGCGCTGAAGGCAGCTGCCCGCGTCCCTGTCACAGCTGCTTATTGGCCATTTTTCTTTTTAATAGTTATGAGCATGTTTTACCTCCTGCCCAGCCAGAACAGGTCATATAGTCACGTCTTCTGACCGAACTTTGTCGTTCCGCTGTTAGCAGTTGGGCTTTCTGGAAGCAGAGGGATTTACTGTAAGTAGTGGCAGGAAGCCTTGAATTTTCATATCGCCCCCTCTCACTTTTATACCAGAAAGGCCTTTGGCAGGGGGCAGCGATGGAGTCTGGAGAGAAGTCCTTGAACAACCAGACACAGTGAACAAGAAAGCTCATGGTGGAGAGAGGTTTTTGAAGAAATATAAACTTTCAATATTCATTCACTGAGAGAGCAAATGCCCTATAGTTGTCTACTAGCGTGTTGATCAGATATCCCCCTAAAGCACACACATGGCTCTATTTTTATGGCAACACTTGGAAAAACCTAACCAATCCTCCAGTCCACCCTGGCAACAGCTCCTGTGTCTATTCCATTTGCAGCAATGAATTTGATGATGTTTAATTTTCCTGTTTCGGTTAGAAAAAAAAAGATATTACTGCTGCTTGAAATCAGTCTTTGTACCCAAATTGCGCTACGTAACAGCCCACTCGCAGTCAATCTGTGCTGCTGCTCCCCAAGATCTAGAGGCAAGGGACACTCCGCAGGGAAGAGGAGCTCTGGGCTGGCCTCAGAGCTAACGGGAAGAACAAATGGCCAAATTTGCAGCCGCTGCGTGTACTACACAGATAAATTCACCTGTCACCTGGGAACTGTGCATTTTTAAGACAGTTGCAGTCACCCTAGTCAGGGGCAACACTCCATCAACGTGCAGAGAGCCAGCAAGCTTTTCTTACACCACCGCTTTTGCATCAGTCCATCCGTACAAGCGACACAAAGAAAGGAGCAGGAACACTGCAGAGTTCGAGTCCTTAAAGCTGGGACTGTGTGTGCCTCAAGTCTGCTTGCAAAGGAAAGCTGCATGGAAAGCGAGCAGTGGCCAGGACTTTTCAGGATTAACAATTTTTAAATCCTGCTGCTCTTCAGTGCCATTGCACACACAAGAAACTCTCAGAGCAAAGGTTCAAGTAGCTGAACATCATCCATTCCTGAGCACCAACGAGGCAATATTACTACTCCCAAGCAATCTGAAACCAAGCCAGATGTGTCACGTTTTCCCTGCTGCAATAAACTGTTCTTCTCTCATATCCCATCTGCAGGTTGCCCTTTCCCACACAAGTCAGGAAATTTACCCATTTCTGCTCCCAGCAGAGCCACGACTCGATTTCTCAGCTGCACAGACGGACAGAACTGCGGTCCCTGCTTGGGCTCAGCCATGTAATCCACATTTGTCCTTCAGGATTTAAATGATGCACAGTGTGGACAGAGATTTATTTCAACACACACTGGAAAATAGCACCATTTTTCCAAAGTTCTGGCATCTTTCTACCCTAAAGATACCAGTCTTCCCTATTTCTTACCAGAATACAATACACCCACTATACAATTTGAAAACACCCATAATTTCACAGCACAGTAGCATCACTAGAGTTCTCTAGCAACAAAAGCTAGAGGGTGTAACTAAACCAGCAGCAATCAGTATTTGCATGCAAGCTCTTCATTTTGTGTCCTGAGCTGAGCACGCCTGCTATGCTTCCCAAAACAAGCAGAGAAGGCATCCTTGAAGGCCTACAGTTACACACACACACACACACACACAAAACCCCTAAAGCTTGTAGAGAGGACACTTAAAAGAGCATGAAGCCATATGATTGGCTGTATGGAAAAGTGGTATAAGTGTTTGGATCGGTTTTCGGGCAATTTTTTCTCCCAAGGATTACCATGGCCAAAGGATGAAAATGGGATCACCAGCTTTTACAGATACCTTCCCCCTACCCTTTATTTTTATTTATTTATTTTTTAACCACAATGACTGCATTTGAAGAAGTTCTTAGCTCTCCTGCCGTGCAGCTGCTTTTGAGGACTGACATTTTCCCTTATCACTCTTGCAACCAGTCTTGCTACTAAGGAGCAGAAATACTCCTGCTCGAGCATTTGCCACCTTCTGCAGGCCAATCCTTTAAGGAGGCTGTGAGCAGCCAGCTGTTCCTCCTCACTTGCACTGGGAAGGAAGCAATTCCCATTTCTGGATTGAGGCCCTACATCTCCTCCCTCCCCTATTCTTCCTCCCAAAAAAAGCAGACCTACCCTCCCTGTAAGCCTTGTTTCAAGAATAAGCAAACTTGGCCTCAGCACAGTTAGGATTCACACCACGGTTTTGTTCTATTTATCGACTCAGCGTTCATCGTTTGGATCACTGATGCACAAGGCGCAGGGGGGCAGAAAAGAGAAAAGAAGGAGAAATAGTGCAGTCCCTTGGGCAAATCACAGTGTAGCACAGACTCTGCCAAGAGCATTAAAGGCTCTGATGTGCTACTGTATAACAGAGCAGAAAAGAACAGCCCTGAGACACACATCGCTGACATCCTGGATGGCATGAGCACAGTCTGGAGGCCTTTATCACTTCTGCTGTGCTCACAGGTCAAAAATCTTCTAACAGAGCATATAATGGCCCTCAAAGGAGCAAGCGGGGAAAAAAATGCTTAGGGCTTCCCAGAAGTTGCAATGTCAATTAATAGGAATCCTGTGTGCTACTAATATATCCTTAAATCTTCTAGCCAGATCTCTTGAAGGTCTGGAGGCACTCTGGGAGGAGCACTAATTTCCCCATTCCCTCCAGAAGGTACCATACTGCTAACAGTCTCCAGCACTAAGTATACCAGGGCCTTGTCCTGCTTCTCTCAGGGTTTCAACTCACCTCCTTAGGACAATTCCCACCCACACAGCACTACAGGGCAGCTGGGCAAAACCTCCTCATTGCAGGGAACTCCTCTACCTTCGGGATCCTCAGCAGCACAGCAACCACCCCGGCCATCTTATAGCGAGCCCACTCACACATGCAAATCCTCAAGAGGGAGGATGGCAAGGTCCGTACCACTAACAGCAGCAAGTGTGCCAGAGCGGGCAGGGAATAGTG